ACATGGTTTTTGTTTCACTGGTCATTAAGAGCAGTTCCAGTGGTGAGTTAGGCTCACTGCTTTTAGGAGAAGGGATATCACAGTTTGTAATTGAGGCTTTGCCTAGCTACTGGAAGGTAATATTCCCCTTTACAATTATTTTCTGCAGCTGCAAAGAACAGAAGGCCCACAGAGTTTCCTTGGGCCAACTGCCACAGAAACTAATTTCAGCTAAGGCAGACTCATAAATTGTTCCATTACTCTATAAATTGGTCTGAGCACATGTCACTTCAAGCCGAGCTGGGCTACTTTAAATCTAGCCCCTAGTTGTGAAATACTGCTGCTTTTTTAAAGAATGCATCTTAAGGAGATGATGGAAATAATAAGAGCAGTCCACACAGACAAAATATTTCATTTATTTTCAAAACAGAAAAGGAGAAATAAAAAAGCAGTAACTATCAACTACTTAACATGCAGATTCTTTAATTGCTCTGATTTTAGAAGAAGACATACATTCTGTATGTGGAAATGATTACTGGCTCTATGCACTTACAGGCAGAAAGCAATGCCTGCCAGCCTTCAGACGTGCCACCAAGAGTTAGAGTTCACAGAATGTCACATCACTGCAGAGGATTTCAAACAATCTCTGGAACATAACTAAAAATGCAAAACTAAAATTAATTTACAGAGATCAGTGCAATAATTCCTTAAGCAGAAAAGATTCTGACATTTCATTTTAAGCATTACCAATTTTCTTCTGTTTCTCAACAGGAAGCATAACACATAACCAGAGGCCTACAGAGAGGCCATCAGCCCTAATTAGGGACCAGGCATCTGTCCTAAGTGATGCTTTGGGGCTTTTTTTTTTTTTTTGGACGGGGGGAGAGGGGGGTGAAGGGGGTAGAGAGCAGGATGGGCTGAAAAACAGTAGACAGCTCACTCCAGTATAGGCTTAGGGAATTATTACAGCCAGAGGTAGCTTCTTTAGTCACCACCCTAAATGAGATGGAGGCCAGGACAGCTTCTTCTTCTCACCTTGTTTGACTCTCCATAAACAAGCCAACTAAAAGCCTTACTGTGATCAGCATCTAGCAGTAGCCATGCCCATTTTAGTTCAAACAAAGTAAATTCCCCCTAGTGAGAGAAACACTAAAACTCAGCTATCCCACTCCCTCTGGGGCCCTCTGCTTCCCTTTTATGACTTCCCCACTTAGGCTGCACAGCCGTCAGTTCCACCTCCCAGCAGTTTAACAAGCCACAACTGCCAGGTTTTGCAGCTTATATAGTCTTTAAGGGCTAACCTCTTCCTTCTTATTTAGCAAAGGCTTTTAACCCTTTCTAGGTTCATAGTGACTACTTGAGTTGTTTATGTGCAGTTTCCTGAAGAAGATGGGATTTTCTGAAGTCTCTGAGTTGATCCAAGCTTCTGTTTTATTCGGTGTAGTCAGCTGCAGAGTTTCAGAACTGCTCCTATGTGCTGTTGCTCCAGCTTAGGGGTAGAGAATCTGGACCAGCAAAAAGATAAAGATTGGTAGATTCCATTACCAAAACTGTGGTATTTTATGAACAAGATTGAAAATGTATAAGGACAGTCTGTATATACATCTTCTTGTTTGTTCTTTAGCTTGAACTGTATTTTGATCAACACTAAGTATAATGTTCTGATAAATCCATTAATCATGTCTGTGTCTGTCTAAAAGCTGATGTTTTTCAAAATACTTTTTTTCTTACTGAAAAGGTGTTGTGCTTCCTGTATGTAACTTTAATAACCTTTAAACTTGCAGTCACATTTTAAACATATTTAAGAAACAAAATGTAGTATTTACTTTCTTTAACTGCATATCTTTTAGTAGATCTTGCTTGGTGCAGAGCTCATCTTATTTGATAACACGATTAAGTTCCATTTTGCAACAGCTGTATTTTTAATATTTGTAACATTTCAGGGACATTTTCCTTCCTGCTACAGGACTTCAGCAGCGTTATCAATTTCCAGCTGAGAAGCACAGCTTCCTTAGTATGTGCCATTTTAGAGTTTCTTGCTTGCTGTGGTTACTCACAGGAACTACCATAGGTGATGAACTGTTGAAGAACTGTGGTGGTTCCCACACATTCTAATTTAGACAGCTGCCACTATTACTAAGGGTTTTGTTTTAAAAGAAGGGTATCTTTATGCTCTGTTTCAGTGTTGCTAAATAGCTTTCTGATATTTTTCTGCTGAAGATATTAAAAAGTACCACTAATGCCAATAGTGAGACATAGTTCCTAGAGAAGTATTGTGAAAGTGCAGAAAATAAGGGACAGTGTTTTCAGAGCTTAAAGTACAAAAACATCCTTCACTATTGGATGCCTCTGTTTTGGATGGAAAGCACCAGGTATGAAGACCCTGATTGATGATAAACCCAAGTGAATCCTGAACCTGTAGTGGCACAGTATTTGTGGAAAACAGATGTCCCAAGTATGGCATCTAAATAAAACAATCACACACATTGGCTTGCTCCATATCTTGTCGATTTGTGTTCTGAAATCTCCAAGGAACTTTACCAGATTTGGCCACCCGTGTTTTTTCTGTATCTCTGATAGGAATTCCCCTGCTCCATTTTGTTTATGGCTGCTTGTCCCATCTCTGGAACAAAGCCCTATGAACAGCAGCCCTGTCCTCCTAGCATAGCAGCTGCTACCTCCAATAGCACCTACAAACTTGCTGAGAGTGCACTCCATCCATCATTCAGGTCATGAATAAAGATATTATGCAGTTTTATCTTCACTATGAATCCTTGAGGGATGCCACTTGTATGACCAGTCACCAGTTCTGCTTCGCATGGTTGATTACCACCCTTCGAGCTCACTGGCTCAGCTGATTTTCAACCCATGTTATCATCCACTTACACAATCCATATCGCACTAATTTGGCTTTAAGGAGATAATGGGAGACTGTATCAAAGAATACAGTCCTACTAGAATCAAAGCATACAGTGCTCCTCCCTCCACCACTGAACAAGTCATCTCATCACAGAAGGCAATCAGGTTGCTCAGGCATAATTTGCCCTTGATCATTCTGAGCTGGCGGTTCCCAATCACCTTTTTATTTCTCCCATGTTTAGAAATGGCTTGTAGGAAAATTCTGCCCATAACTCTTGCAGAAAGTGCAGTTGAGCTTCTTGACCTTATTTCTCCAGATTCTTCTTCTTGCCTTCTTCAGGATGGATGTGAGTTTGCATTCTTTCTTCCTTATGGCTCAATCGTAGTATGTTTTTATTTTGATAAATACAAAATTGGCAATGGGACCTTAATAGAATCTATCACATTCCTCCTTTAAAGGATATTTTATATCTACAGCGTAAAAAAAAGCAATATTTAGGGTTCAGTAAAATATGATATGCCTCTGCTAAATACATTTTTACCGCATGTAAAACCAATTTCGCCTCAAGTTCTTCCAATTCACATATCAAATACACATTTTCTAAGAAATATTCTGTAAGAAAATGGAAATTAGAAAAGTCACTTCCTTAAAACTGTTTTTTTCCCCACTAAATCTCTTCCCTGCTGCTCACAAGAGCAGAAGTGAAAATGCTTTAGGAGTTGGTTAGACATGAAATTGCAACAAATCTCCAAGAAACTGCATAAAATACAGTAGACAAGAATCAAGAGAAAGGCTTCTCAGTGTGTGGCACTGTGCTGCATGCCCATGACTGTACCACCTCCGTGGGTTCAGGAGCTGCAGGCTGCAGCAGCACCGCCATTTTGTGTGCAGTGGGGGTTGGGCTGAGTTCCGTTTAGGGAAGCTCTTCCCTCCTGTACGAGTTTGTTTGAAAATACATGTGTAAGAGGCCTGATCTACACAGGTCTTTACTGTAAGTACGTGAGCAGCACTGTTTTAACATGAACAGTTACTCAAGTGCAGGCATTACTGCAGTTGTTTATGCTCAACAGCTGCACTGGTGAGAGTGGCCTGTTTCCTGCTCTTAGCAGAAACTATGCCACGAGAGCACACGTATGACATCCTCCGGCTGTAAGAGATTGTAGTGCATTGCCTCTTCTGGTGTTAAAAAGCAGGTTAAAAGAAGCAGCCCTATCTATTCCAGGCCTGAAGAGGAGCCTGTGCCCCAGCCTTTCTCTCTGATGCATGTAGCAGTGGGGGTGGCACTTCCTGATGATCTGGAGGTGATAAGGCACTGCTACTTCTTCATGTGTGGTTTGATGTTGTAACCAGAGTCCTGGCAGCTACTGAGGATTAGCAGAGCTGTTAAGAATGCAATCTGTGTGCAGACAGGGCTTTGGTTGTTAGACGCTATCACTGAAAACTTCTTAGCAGTGTTCTCTCAGGTCCATTGCACATGAAGCAGGCTTGGAGATTAATTAATGGGAAAGAAAAAAAGATGGAAATGACACACAAGAAACTGATGTTTATGCTCAAAGCTCTCTCTAAACTATACAGTTACGTATGTGCGAGCTGTGCAGGATAAGAGTGGCAGAAAACTGAAGCAGAAGACAGACTGCAAACCTGCAGCTTTCTTCTGCTGTCACTGTTTCTGCATTTGCAAATGAGGTCACTACCACATTTCCTCTCAAGGTAGGCAGAAAGGGCAGATTAGAAGCTTGCAAACTGCAGAGTAAGTGTAGCACAGCAAGAGTTTTCCTATTTACACAGATGTTAGTTCTATGATGTTAGGCACGGCACAGTCCTTGCAGAAATGCAGACTTTCCATCCTACGTGGAAGAATACAACGAGGAAGCCAAGTGGTTTTGCTTACCTTTGAGGTGAAGATGTATGAAGATTGCTTAGGAATAAAAGATTCATGTGTTCCAGCGTGTTTTTCAGTTTCTTGAACATCCAAGTTGAGCTTGATCTTCAGAAATGTCTTCAACAACTACCACACAGCAAGCCAAGCCTTCTAGACCTCAATGCTATGTTGAATATAAAGTCAAGGTATTGGTGAAACTGAACCAATGCCGAACTGACTGATCTAGTCCCCCCCCCCCCCCCCCTTTTCTGTTCAGAATCAGTATTGACTCACAGAATAGTATCAACAAAAAAAGATAAAACCCAGGCATGCTGACAGGTCTGCTGTGGGGAAGGAGGCCATCTCCATGCTGCTCCCAGTGTGCTCACCACACGGCTTCTGTTCGGGTTCCTGCGGAAAGCTGGGGGGAGGAAAGAGAAACAGTGGCTCCCCTGTTTTCAAGACTGAGGAAACTCAGGAGACATAACCAAGATACCTGGTATTTGTATTTGTTTCCCATTATTTTGGCTGCTGAATATTGCAAAGGAGGGGTTTTAGGTCTTCTCATATACAGTAAATGGGTGAGCTCTTCCCACTAACTGGCAGGCAGAACCTATTTTTCAGGGTTGCTATCTGACTACCTACCAATAGCATGAAGACACCATTTAAAAAATACGAGAAAGCATTATTCCTTGTCACTTCTTGATTGTGACAATATGCAGACACACACACGCACCAGCCAGAAAGAAGGACTGGCACAGAAAAGAGCTGACAAAAAGGGAAATGGAGGAGAGTGTAAGAAACAAGGAAATAATAGAATGAAAAGGGAGGGAGGAAGCAGCGGGGGTTTGCTTTCGTCTTCTGCACACTCTCTGTGACAAGAAAATTACTCAGAGGTGCAGGCATTAGATGGATGTTTAAAAAGGAATAGCAGAGAAAGCTTGAATGAGACTGATCTTTTGAAACAAACAGTGCCTTATAGATGAAGTCAAATAGCTTTTACTGGGACAGTAGGTCTAGGAAGACTGCCATCAAAGTGACCTGCTCAGTCAGATACTGTCATGTTTCTCCTTTCACTCAGAGCAAAGAAACAATTTGTATGACTTATCACTTCATTATTTTATTCATTTGCTTCTTCATCCATTGCTGGGATATTTTCTGTCAGTTACCAGGTTTCTCTTGACTCTGTCTTCAGTCATGTTCACTGGCAGAAAGTGCTATTAGCTTGGAACAAATCTCTCAAGGAGAAAGATGTATTTCTCTACGCATCCCGGTAAGTCTGAAGTACTGCTGCTTCTAACGATCCCTAAGGAGAAGTAGGAAAAAAGCCAACTCTAAGCAACTTTTGCATGAGGAACTATTTAAAAATGCATGTAATCTTTTGTGTATTAATCTGGTTTTTAGGACAAAAATAATATTTGAATGTCAGCATAGAAAATAGTAAAGTCCATGCTGTGGTCAGCAATAACAAACTGGGCAGGGAAATGCAATCTTCCCTCTTCCATCCATGGAAAACTACACTGATAGTTTCTTCATCGCATTTTAAAGTACCGCAGGCTTCGTCCCCAGGGCACCATTCCCTGTCAGTACCTGCTGTCTGTAGACTATCCCAGCTGGTACACAAGGAAATGACCTTCCTTTAAATTCATAGCATTCTTCCAACTGGCATACCACTTGTTAATTGATACTAGTAGTAATGCTTCAATAATCATTACTAATATAGTAAAACAAAGCTTCAGAATATTTAGTAATTTAAAAATTACTGAAGCAGTTAGCAAAGTATGGGAGAAAGTATTTTTTCTGTAGTGCAACTCAAATTATTCTTGTGTAATTGTTTTAAGAACTATGCCTTAACCATTTAGGCAACAGGCTAACAAAAATAGATCAATTAAATATAAGATGAATATAGGATTTGGGTGACAATTTTCAACCGTGTACTATGTCCTAACACACGAACATAAGAGGATTAGGGTTGATGGCTGAACCAGTTAAAATCTCAGTTTTCTAAGATCTCTGCCACTGACCCAGAGTGTTTCAGAACTGATTTTTACAGCTGCACAGTGCCTATATTTGAGGTTTTAAAATCCCACCCTGAAAATTGTCCATAAGTTTGTCATCATTTTTTTCTAGATGAAATCTAGGAATCCACTTTCTAGATGAGATCTGTCAAGTTTGCATGATCAATCTAAAAGTCAGTCTGGATTTTGAGAGTTTTTCATAGAATCCTTAGAGTTAGAAAGGGCCTTTGAGGGCCATATAGTCCAACTCCCCTGCAATGAACAGGGACACCACAGCTACATCAGGTTGCCCAGGATCTTATCTGGCCTCGCCTTGAATGCCTCCAGGAATGGGGCATCAACCACCTCTCTGGGCAACCTGCTCCAGGGCCTCATCACCCTCACTGTAGAAGATTTTTTTTCCTTACATCTAACCTAAATCTGCCCTCTTTGAGTTTGAAATCATTTCACTTTATTCTATCACCACAGACCCTGCTAAAGAGTCTGTCCCCTTCTTTCCTGTTATTCTCTTTTAGATACTGAAAGGCTATCAGGTGTGTGTGTGTGTATGTATATCAGGTGTATATCAGATATACTATCAGGTCACTTTATCAGCCTTTTCTTCTCCAGGCAGCACCAGCTCGCTCCGTAGAGAGAGCTGTCCTTGTAGGGGAGGTGTTCCATTCCATGGATCAATTCTGTGGCCCTTCTCTGGATGTACTCCAACAGCTCTGTGTCTCTCCTATACTGAGGACTCCACATCTGGATGCAGCACTTCAGATGAGGTCTCACTAGCTCAGAGTAGAGGGGCACAATCACCTCCCTCACCCTGCTGGTCATGCTTCTGCTGCAGCCCAGGATACAGTTGGCTTTCTGCGCAGTGAGGGCACATTGCTGGCTCACAGCCAGCTTCCCATCCACCACCAGTACACCAGGTCTTTTTTGGCAGGGCTGCTCTCAATCCTTTCATCTCCCTGTTTGTATTGATAATGGGGTTTGCTTTGACCCAGGTGTAAGACCTTGCATTTGGATTTGTTGAACCTCATGAGGTTTACCTGGGCCCAGTGCTCAAGCCTGTCTAGGTCCCTCTGGATGGCATCCTGTGCCTCTGGTGTGCTGATCGCACACCACAGCCTCTTTATTTATATTTTTCACCTATCCTTTCTGATGCTGAAAGTTCAGCAGCATAGATGATAGCCTCATTAATTTCACTTGGTCAGCTGACAGGGTTGGACCTTACCAAGAATCTCTGTGCCAAACATATGCACAAAACAGGGAACTGAGAAGTAGGAAAGCAGCACTTACAATATATTTATCCCCAGATTAGAAGCACAATCAAAAAACGTTCAGATAAAAAGAACTACCTGAAAAATAGCCTGCGGTAAAACTGCTTCAGACTGCTATCTGAAATGAAGAAAATGGGAATAATGAGATCTAAACATTCTTTGGGATTTCACTCAGGAGCATTCTGCTTAAAAAAGCACGAGACCACTTGGGTGACTTGGCGTCTGCCTTGCTAAAAATATTTTTGCCTTGGAAATGAAAATGAATGGCCTAAAGAAAAAGCCTGAGAGGAATGGAGACCAGGAATCAGTATGGGACCAGGCAGAGGCAAAGCACAGCAGGGGGTCACATCATTGGAAACCACTGGAGGGGGAAGAGAAGGGAGCAAGGCCCAGGCATCCTTTATGTCTGAAATGAAGTGAATGAACACACCTCTACTGCTAAGCCTAGAAACTACTATTTTGGACATTAGCTCCCTGAAAGAAAGAAATTTCCAACATCTTGGCCTTTTCAAAGCAGATATTTTGGCTCCATGGCCATGTTATACTAAGAGAAATCTGAAGTTTTAACTAAGAGCACATCCTTCCTTCCCTGGGCAGAACCTGCTATCTGGGAGAAGTTTTATGGAGTATCTGAAAGGAAGTTCCCAGTATTATTCAACATTTCTGTATCAGATCAGGTTTTTAAAGTACAGAACAAGTCACAGTTCACTTGTTAATTAACTGAATTTCAGCAGATGGGAAAAACAGACATCGAGAGGTTAGAATAAATTGGCCGTGCAAGTTAATGGCAGTCAGGAACGTGAATAAGTAGCTCCTGGCAAACAGGGCACAAATCTTTGCCAAGTGTGCCACTGTGACAATATGGGTTTATCTGCTATCATGTGCTTTCTCTCCCCACGTGTGTCCCTTGCCAGAGGCACTGTGTAAGGCCACATGCCAGAACATCCCTCAGCCTGGCATGTAGCATGGCCCAGCCACAGCCACCGTCCTGCCCCAGCCTTCTTCCCTCAATGAAGAACTCTATTTTTCACAGACAGAAAATCTTTAACAGTCAACTTTCCACAGCTGCAAGCATCTTTCTTCACATCATTGTCCAAAGCCTTGCAGGCATGATCCACAGCAATTAGGTTTACTAGTGCATTTTAATCCTCAACGAATTTGGACGCTTTCTAGAAAGTTATCCAGTTTATGAGATTATACATGATTCAAATTATTTACTTTTTTGCAGCCTTTGAATTTCAGCCAAGACATTTCAGGTACAATGGACAATTGTTCAATACAAACTTCTTCATTAGTTTATAATCTATGACTTAATCTGCCATCCATTTGTTAAACGCTGTCAAATCTTCCTCTTTTAGAAGATTGCCCAGAATGAGACAATTCATTTTGCACGTCTCTGTGAATGATGCACAACTTTTAAAAAAGGTTTAAAAACCCCTTTCTGATGCACTCCCATCTGTAGACTCTGTAGAAGAGGCTCTCCTCATCCATGCCTGTGGATGCCAACAAAGAGCCATCCTATCTGCCAGGAGGGCTATTTTCCCAAGTCAGCCTGCTGAGCTCAGCCAGCAACCGGGCATAAATACACCTACAGGGAGGCAACTGCTGATAGAGGACTTAATTTAGGGTTCCTGAACATTCATGTCTGGATTAAAATCTAGGTCCTTGGAAACAGTTTTAAGTGCGCCAAGTATCTTTTCCATCTCCTAGCTTCTGCAAATCCCAGATCTGTACTTTCTGCAGGTATTCAAAACGTTTCTCTTATAACCACTTGGCCCATCCTCATTCTTGCCAAGGAATTAACTTGCCATGTATCTGTTGCTTCACGAGTTTATCACTAGGGAGCTTAAAATGAAAACAACTGTTTATTTATTATTTGTTTATAATTACAAAATAAAGGCAATTGCAAATATAAAATGTACCACTACCAATCCTTTGCCTTAACTTTACCTTAACTACGCTGCTGCAGTTCTGTCCCTTTACTTACTCTTCACCCTTCAGGCCTGCCTGTTTCCTGTTCCCTCCTGTGTACAGTTACTGGTGTGTGTCTCAACTCAGAGTGATCCAGTTCAGAAAAATAGTAATTTTTCTGCTTGTTTAAGTCTGCAGACTGATATGCTGTGCTCAGATGAGTAGCAGCACCAGCATGAGAGAGGCAGGCCTGACTCAGAGCAGGATTAGTTTTAACCTATCTGGGAATGACATCCTTAGGGATGCTTTGAAGTACCTTTCGGCTGCAGTAGTCAGGAGATAAGTCAGCAGCATTTGCCTCTTAATTACTGCTTTTAGGAGTGGGTTCCCTTGAAGGATACCACTTAGAGGTTTTCTGTATACCCTGAACATAGGGCCAACCTGTGTAAGATACTACTCAATATTAATAAATGAGTGAGAAGCTGGTCCCTGGCTCTTTGAACAGAGAAACTTGCTGTGGTGCTGGCTACAAAGACGTCAAAAGGCACTGAGAAACCATACTGCTACAGATCTAGCCAGAATCCCTTTAACCACATCAAAACAAAGTAGCTTTTCCATGTGTTATTTCAAATGGTACAGAGAAAGACAAATATTCTTTTCTCCACTCCACCTAATAGTATTAATATTAAATGTTTTACCTCTTCTGAAGGTTTTGAAAAAAAACAACAAACCAACAACAACAGTGAATGATTGGGTATTAACTGCCATACCACAGTGTGCTTATTTACTGCTGCTGGCCTGGCAGCTTATGGAGTAGATACTCAAACAAGCAATGGCACTGAGGAGTTACTCATAGGCCAACTGTGTTTTTTGCTTCGTTTTATCCTGTGCACCAGTCTGAAGCACTTAAGTCATACTTCATCCTTTTGCTCTGTTCAAGGCTGACCCTGCTTTTTAAATGGAAAAATATATTAAGAGAGTCATAATCATAATGCTCCCTCTGGTTCCATTAGCTTCAGAGGAACTGCATTTTATACATTATATGTGACCAAATTAAAAGGCCCAAGTTTTTTGTGTGCAGTTCCTGACTTATAGAGGCTGGGTATAATTACTTCTTTTAGAGTATTGCTATTATACTGCAATTTGCACAAGGGTCCAAAAGCCTTCCGATGTGCCAGCCGAGTCAAAAACTCCACCACTTTACAATCAAGAGCAGGACTGCTGCTTTGCTCATTTCAGTACAGGTGGACAATTAGGTAATTAGGGCAGAATTAACCCCCTCGCCCCCAAATTATTGTACTGCATTGTACTGAAGTATAAAAAGAAATGCTGAGTTTGGAATATATATATTGATCCCATTTGATCAAAAGTGAGGAACATATATTAAACCACGTCTGCAATAAGTATTTTTAAGTGTGCAGCTTGAAATGCTGAAGAGGCTCTACGTAAGATCTTCATACTGAGATTCATAAAACCATTTCCTCTGCAACCTTAAAGAAAAAGTCACTCTTCCTGTTCTGTACTAAAATGATGCACCATTAAGAAGCAGCCATCTCAGTGAACAGAAACAATTGTTAGTACAACCAAAATACCCTCATATGAAGCATTTTAGTAATGTCATGATTTCAGGTATCAGCTTGACCTTCAGCTCAACAGAACAGAGACACAAGGTGCTTTCAGTCACATTTCGGCAATTTGACGAACTAATGAATAATCAAATGATAATAGCTGAGATCAAACCAAAACATTTGCAGGACATCTCCAACTTAGATTTATGTTGTGGATTGCTATGGAAGTTTAAAGACTGAGTCTTTTTTTTTTTTGGTCTGTTTAAATCTTAACTGAAAACTGAATGTCACAAAAGCAAAAATTACAAAAGAAAACACATCAAAACACATCAAATCACTGCAGAGTTGGTATACATGGGCTCCCCATTCATTTCCAACAGATTGCAGATACCTTGTTCTTTGCCCCACCAGCACTTTGAGTTGTTTATTATAAAGTTCTCTCTTTCCACTGCTCCCATATAAAGCAGCACTTTCCCAAGACTGGATGAATTCAGTGAATTGCCATTTTCAAGAGATTGGTTGAAATGGAAAAGATTTTGACAGATACATATTCTGAAATATTAACAAAGAAAAATAATGAAGGAAATTTAATTTTTTTTTGCTTTGAATTCTCAAACCAATTATTTAGTCTCTCATTTCAATATTTTTAGTGCACTTTCCCAAGATACTCAGAAATTGATGGCAATTATTCTGCATTTGCCCCTTTTGTTGCATATGGCAAGTAAATGCTCTGTGAAGCTTATCCTATTTCATATTTCATACCTTTAAATACATTATTTCACTGGTATTTTCTATTAATGTTATGATTTCAAATAGAATTTACTTTGCTAGTATCACTTTCAGGCTGTCCTGACATGCAAAATTAAAGCACATCACTGCAAGGAGTAGCTGTCATTCATTCTTTCTCTTGTTATGGCACTGCTAACATTGGTATTACAAGTTGTTACATCTGTACCCTTAAGTACATTTTTTCAGATGATACCTGTTTTTTTTTCCCCCCCCTTTAGAAGTGTTGAAAGCTAAATATATCGCTTATTCTTCTAATCTTTCAAAGAAATGCAATCACTTTTGACAATTCAAAGAAACTTGATATCTCTTTAGTACTTGCCTCTGGCTCTCTTTCTTTTTTTTTTTAATTTGTAAGAAGGTAACTCACTAAAAATGTCACTTTTGTGCTTAGAAGAAAATTGTTTTTAAAATCTGTACAATGGCAAGGACTGGGGAGACTTTCATCTCAGAAAAGCTTTTTTTTTCCAACTCAAAGGATTTGTCTTTTTTTATCTAAACTATTCATCTGGAGTCCCTTCTAGGTGCAGAAAATCCAGTCATCACATCCTGTGTCAGGATAGGTGAATCATCACCTGAAAGCGTCCGCTCCCTCTCAGCTGAAAATAGGAGCAGCTGGGGATGACTTGGTCTGACCGTGAGCCAGCTCCTGCTGTGGCCATTCTGTGCTGGGGGGGATGAACCCTACCCAAAGTCCCTATCTGCATATAAGCCATGGTAAAACTGTCAGCTAGAGACATGAGTGTATAATCAACAGATATTAAGATGCTACAGTCATAAAATAAACAAGAGAGTTAGGCGAAGTAGACTATTATAACAAAAGAGAATAAATGGAAGGCTTACCCTTAGTTGGACTCACCACAGAACACCAGAAGGAAGGATCTCCAGATGAGATCCTTCCCCACTGGTAGCCAGCTCTTAAATAGGTCTAGGAGGAGCCTGGCTCCCCCCCCTTCCAGCAGCACAGGAGAATTGCCTTCACCTGTGCTCCTCTGGCTGACTCATGGCTCGCCTCAGGTGATCAATCAGAGGTTCAGGCCGTGACTCAGTAGTTCCCATACACATGAGGAAACATCAGCTTGCTTAAAAAATACATGGGAAAATTTGTTTCAGATGAGAAGACCTAGAAACAGTAATGCTATCAGACATCTGGCGTTTGGTACGGGCATCACAAATTCTATAACTATGGTTTTATTCTCACTATGAGAATAGTCTCCTAGTTTCATGGAGTTATTTTCCAACTCGTTTTTGTCTCTCACATCCCTGCATTAGCTCAGTTAGTCTTTTTGTAAAGTTTTGTATTTTCAAGGTAGTTTGTTTCCAAGTATGCTAAGTATTACTGTTTATTGCAACCTGCATATCAGAACCATAGAGCTAATAGAAAATTGTACTTGATTTTAGCCCTCCTCCCATACACAAAATTGCTTATGGAGAAGCAGTAATCTAAAGACACAATGAATTTTCTTCTTCTTGTACAGAAGCCTGCACAGCTCGCTAGTAAATGGAAAGCTTTAATCTGCATATGATTTCTTTAAACGCATCACTCTTGCAGTCTTTAGAATGCATGTTTGTCATAATAGAAAATCACAGTAAATTAAATTACTGACAATATGATGCCTTGTTTGCAGTCCATGCTCTGATAATATTTTATTTGGCATAAAACATAAGTAAAACAGCTCTAAAGACTTAGCCAGATTCACCCAATATCTCAGTGAGTCTCAGCTTCAGACTTAGAATCAATAGCATTCTACCCAGGGAGAATATTATCTACTCCTTTCACTTTATTTGATATTAGTAGTTAGTTAATAATAATATAATATGAAAGGATATGATTTACATTAATACAAATATGCTGGGTAAAAAGAAAGAAATGGTGATGCAAGTACGTTAAGCTTTCTATCTTTCACAGATGAACAACCTTTCTTGGGTGGCAGAAGTCAGGAAAAATATGAAGCAGAACGTTTGTTCTTCAGCTTTGGACAGTGATAGCTTACTGCATTTATGAATAATTCCTTATAGTTTTTTTTTCACTTCCTACCCCGGAAGCTAAATTAGTTTTACAACTATTAATTGAATTGTCTAACTTCACTACACTCTGTGAGATAGAAAGGCTTATTAACTCCACTTTACAGATAAGGAAACTGAGACGGGGAGAGGAAACGATTAGCTAGAGGTCACACTGGGAATCAGAGACAGATAAATCTCAAATCTCTCAATCCAGTGCATTAAGTGTTGAACATCATTCCTTCTCCACACAAACAGACACTAGAAATGAGACACAATTCAAATAGAAGCAATTAAAACAAAATTTCATAAAAGATAAAAGCTTCAGAAATTCATCCTATGCTGATGATCCCAAACATTATTCTCTTCTGTCTCTGTTGCATGGTTCAAAGATCAGATTATCCCTGCTTCCTTCCTCCTTACACCACCAGTATGTGCAGCACATCAGATCACTTGATACAGTCACGTAGCCCTCCTGCAAATATCTGCCCTGCCTGCGTGCTGTACAGTTTTATATGCATGCAATCACCATTGCCTTAGTAATTACATTTAATTCTGGATTTTTTTAATTCAACAGATAGTTTTCCATTACTTTCCAAAGGAAAAAAGTCAGGATCTCTATGAAAACCATAGTATTATATGAGAGAAAATCAGGTCTCTATAAGATTACAGTTTTGAAGCAACTTTAGTTTCTGGCTTTAGCACTTCTCTCCATTCTCCCTTCTCCACTGAATACCTGTACATAAGATATTTGGTCCATTTCTAATAGCGAAGGTGGTCTCATGTTAGTTTGTTGGGGCAGATATATCTCTAAAGAAGAAAACGGAGTTGTTACAGAGCAAACAGTAGGGCAGAAGTGCAGATTAGTACAAAACAAAATGCTTCAAATGTTGCCATTAATTGTTCCAAAAATCTTGTTCTAGCTACATTTTCACTGATAACAGCCTTTGTTAAGTTCTCTCAAGCAAGTTTGTAAAATAGAGAGTTTCTAAATAGTATCACAGATCAAAATCAATCTATTTTTAAACAAGTCTTAATTCAGACCTCTGCAAATTCAGAATAGAACTAGCCTTTAGATTTTTTAAAAGTAAAATAAACAATATATTTGCCTGTGCTGATTTCAGTGGAACCCCTGGGAATAGGATCTGAAGGATTTTATTAGAGGCACATGAAATCTAGAGCTTCAACAAACAACCTGGAATTCAAGAAAATGCAATTAAATACAATTAAAAGGACCTACTAATCATTATTGACACTATTACTGCTGCCCATTACTTTCTGTAATTGCACATGATTTTCTACCTGATAGTCCTGATCACTCTTATGAGGCCCAGAATGCGAATGCATTGTAATGTTCCTCTGACTCTCCTCAGCTAAATGTTATGATGAGTTAAATACTAAGATTTGGTCTAGTTGTAGAGAGAATATTTGTTTGGCTTGTGGATAGAACACTTCTTTTATTTACTTATGATTGTTCTTAGGACTGTATATATTTGACGAACAAAACTGTTCTGTAAAGAGTGATAGATGAATGTTTGAAAAACTGTCGGAGATCCTTCCCAATATGGTTTCCACATAGCAACAAAACAAGTTCAGTTTATGACTTTTATTAAGACTATCTAAGAAACAGATTTTATAATAAAAGTTTCCTGTTTGTTGATGACAAGTGTAACAGCTTTTTTAAACCTCAAATTGCATATTTGAAGTACAGCTATAGGGCATCAAATGCCTGTGACCTAAGGCAGCTGCACATTTAAAAAAAAAAAAAAAATAGGAAAGAAGGAAAAGGAAGAAACAGTCCTAAAAAACGCTGGAATGAAGCACTGCCCCCATTTTTGACCAGAGGCACTCCACAGTGCAAATGTGCTCGGTTCATGATGCTCCCAAATGCCTGGGGCTGTGTAAGGGACGGGGATTGTCAGTGGCTCATGGACTGTCATGTCTGCACCCGGATTAATTTTCAAAACCATCCCCAGAAATTCCTCTAATACTCATTGTTGTCTCCTGAAATGCTGTGCAGAAGCTTCATCTGCTTCAGCTCCATTTTGGGTGCCAAGAGGAACGGAATGTTCTGCCACAAAATCCAGACTACAGCTGTGTCTGTTTAGCATTTTGTTTTGAGGCAATACAAATCCTGAGAGCCCCCATTTACTGCAGGTTGGTGCAGCCTGCAGAACAGTGCTTGCAGGCAGTAGGTTTCCTTTCAGAAGAGGTCAACCTGATGTCTGTTCTCCATATAGCCACCAATTGCATTTCAGTCCCTTATGGGAGCACATGAGCCTGTGACAGTGCTTACCACTTCAGGGTATGTTTGTGTTGCCGCTGGTCAGTCCAGATCAGAGGTGTGCACAGGAAGCAGATCTTGGGGCTGTTTGACCTGCTCTTCTGTTCACAATGCAGAGAAGTCTCAGAGAAACCTCAACTGGATTCTCTGAAGGCAGAACTAACCTGGAAGATGTATTCCAAGAGTTTCTCCTAACGTGCTGCATTTACTAATGAGCATTCAGTGCCTGGGCCAAGATCTAATCTGCAGCAAACCCTCCGAAGTGCATATTGTGGATGTGAGGTTCTCAGCAGCAGCTGCTTCACTCTGCAGATCTGTTTTTCTCACAGCATGATGCTTTCTTACCTAAACAAAGCCTCAGATAGCTCCAAACCACATGTAATGATAGTGGTGATGGTTTGGGGGGCCAAACTGAAACTAGTCTGAAGTAAAGGCCCTGAACTTCTCATAATGTAGAGTACTGATTAATTCATTGACTGTTGCTTTTTTGCACCAAATTTTTTGCCAACGTGGATGTAGAGCTCTTTGTGTTAGACAGTGGCTGCTGATGCTTAGCCATGCCAACCAGAAAACAGGTGTCCCAGCCCCTTCAAAAATATACTGTTTCTGACTACTGAACATTTATGCACACCTCTCTGACGCTGTAACTCCATTGCATTCCTGAAGCTGACTGCAAGCAGGCAGAGCTGGGATATGTGCTACCACAAAGACCCTGCGATGGGCTGAGAAGGAACGCTGATTTTCATAGCTCTGCTCAATTAAGATTTAAATTCCATCATACAGCTTTTTCTGATGGTTTATTTAAATCCTGCAAATGCAGTTTTATTTTATTAAAGTGCTCTACATCCGATTAAATTTTGTGTATTTTTTTTATCTCTCCATATCACCTAGCATTAAAAGTAGACTCACTGGAAAATAAATAAATACGTAAGTGAACTCAAATCCACCATAATTCTGCTGGGTCTGATTTCACAGTAGCATTAATCAGAACTGAAATCATTGAAAATGTCAGAGTGCTCTTGATAGCTAGTATCAAAAGGAAGTCCCCCAACTGCATTGCAGCTTCTGCTCTTGGAGACTGTAAACACCAAAGAGGATTTCATGATAGAGCCTAAAATTAATCCGACGCAAGGCCAAGACACATCCTTCATAGTCCCTATGAAAAGGGAACGTGCAAGATTTGACCAAATGTCAGAACTGAAAAAGTGTAAATGAAAGTTTTGACACATCTCTACCTTCTGCCTTGTGGTTTCAGTCTGCTATAGAATTAACCTACAAAAGAATATAAATCATGGCAGGACTACAGACAGAGATCAAGGCTGCTTTAGATTAAGTTTTAGGTATATATCATGGTTCAGCACCACCTGTTTTGTATTGAAAAAGACTAATACTTAAGGGATATTTATTACAGTATAGTAAGAATCTTAAGAGCTTACATAGTCCTTTAAAGAATATACTGAAATTAAAGACAAAGTCCTACATGGGAAACTGACATTCCTTAGCATCTTTCAATAGACAGTCAACAGTTTTATGATAGTATCGTAAATAAAAACCATCCGTAATATAC